TTCGGTTCAGTTTGTACAACCATTAACCACGTATATTCGTGCGCCGGTTTTGGTTGCTGTCTTTTGCTGTCCATTTGGTAGAAGAAAGGAAACTTGAAAGTGGAGTCGAATAGAAAATGGAGAAGTTCAGTGGTCTTAGGTTGCAAATAAATTGAGATGCACGAACGCCACTGTTTGCGAGACCCAGCCATATCATTCAGTGTCTCTAACCATCGGTTACGATCATCCCGAGATCCCCATCCAGGGAGCCTAACGGGACCTGTGTGACCTAAACTCCTGGTTGGGGTTTTCATACCCTCGTGCTAGGTCTTAGCTTGACCATCCTTAGCTTTTTTCCACTCGGTATCTGCTCGGCGAACATCGCTCGCCGTGGTAACCTATCTGGTGACATGCGTAATACATGTCTCAACCAACGTAATCTATGGATGTCGACCACTTGCTCCAGTGGGCGACCGGGGATACCCAAAACTCTGCGCCTAACCTAACGTCCGGCTGCTCCACCAGATTCGGGCAATGCTGCGTAGACAGCGATGTTCAAACACCAACAGTCTATCTTTGTCCTATTTTCTGCTCCATATAGCAGAATTGGCCGAACTACTGCAGCATATACTCGACCCATCACAGACTGGATGTCGCGACGACTCCACATATGTCTCAAGTTCGCAGATGCCAACCGAGCCTTCTGTATGCGAGCAGACACCTCATCCGTGATGCGTCCATCGGACGAGATGTAACTGCCTGAATAACAAAACTTATCCACTTGCTTTATTACTTCTCCAGGTGGAGTGAGGCTCGGTGCTGGACCAACCCAGTCTTGTAGTAAAATTTTACACTGAAGGTGCAAAACGCATACCGAACATGGCTACACTGGCATTCAAGCTGTCCAAAAAGCTTGCGACTTACCTGGGTCTTCACTTAGTAGGGCGAAGCGGTCTACAAACTCTAAATCAGAGCCTGGCACCTGGGGTAAAATGGTTGCCACCTTCCTCGCCTTTGATAGGGCTGTTTCCATAATCAGGTTTATAACAAAGTTGAATAGAAAAGGAGATAGAGGGCAGCCCTGACAAACACCAGTTTCTGTGGTGAACTCGGACGAGAAAGTGCCGTAAGCCCGGACTCGACTTCGGCTATTAGTATAAAGCAATCGTGATATTGAAATAAACTTCGCGAGCACACCCTTTGGGGGAAGGCAGTGCTGGAATTTAGAGCGGTTGTCTGAGTTGAAAGCCACTTTCAAATGGAGAAAAACGGAGATGGTGGGTCTACGAAAGGAATGTTGATGCTCCAGAATTTGGCGGAGAGTGAAGATGTGGTCGATACAACCTCGACCGGGCCTAAAAGCAGCGTGGTTCTCACGCGTGTACCGTTCACGTGCGGCAGACAATCGTCGGAGAATGATGCCAGCGAGAAGTTTAGAAGCAACGTTGAATAAACCAATTTCTATGTGGTTTTGCACAAGAGGATCTGTCACCTTTCTTGTAAATTGGTATGATCACCGATTCACGCCATTCAACTGGAACCTCTTGCCTCTCCCATATTGAATGAACCCAGGAGTTTCGTTAAGTCCAAATCCAAGGCTGAACCTTCATATTTAAGAACCGATTGTTAAAGCCCTTAGGGACCGGAAGCCTCGTGCCTTTTGAGCTACCTTATTTCCCGGGTAACCTCCATTCCAAATGATGGACTGATGCCAACTGGGAGAATTTGCTCAGTGGAGATGTAGGGTGGTAGTTCAGATGTCGATCGGAGCCGGTTGAACTGAGCCTTGAAGTGTTCAGTCCATCGATCAAGACGGTATTGCTGATCGTGAATCAGTGTGCCATTGGATTCCTTAATTACCTCATTCACGCCTACTTTTCTGGGGCCTGTATTCCTAATTTAATGGAAAAGGTTACAACTGTTACCAATAACCGCAGCTTTCTCCATCTCGTTACACTTTTCCAGCCACCACTTCTCGCGGTATTCCTCAGACTGTTAATGAGCTGGCGTTTAAGGGATTTGCGCGCTGCGTTGTATGTGGCATCCAGAGGAAGTGTTCTGCGGGCGTCCATCAGGGCAACCGAGTTCGACGAAATCCATCGTTTGTGTTTGAAGCTTGGGGTAGGGTCCGACGTTTCTGTGGATCGCTGCATCGCTTCCTTAATTTGCTTCCAGTGTTCGTTGAGTCCTTCTGCTGGTGGTTGAATTGACGGGCGTTCGGAGAGGTCGGATTCGAAGGCCGATTTGCATAAATCGCTGACACTGTATCGTGGGTATCCGTTGTCGGTGGC